AACAGACTTCAACTGAACCCTACTAAGATGGAGTGGCTATGGATGGACCTTTCTTGTGGTCCTTAATGGGGTTGCACTACCCCAGACATACCCAGTGTTTAACTTGGGGGTCCTTTTGGACTAATAGCAGGTAGCATCCCGGGCCAGGAGGGCCTTTCCCTAATTTCATATTGTGCACCAGTTATGCCCCTTCCTGGACAGGAAGGCTCTCTGCTCAGTCACTCATGCCCTGATCATCTCCCAATTGGACTATTGCAATGCACTCTACATGGGGCTGCCCTTGAAAAGTATCCAGAAGCTTTAACTATCTACACTCTTGGTTATTTCCTTTAAAGCCTTTTATAAAAGGATCCAGGGTATCTGAGGAGCCATCTTGCTCCAGTGGGATTGGCCCATCCAACAGAAGAAGCCTACTTTGCTCTATCAAAGAATTTTAACTGGCAGGGTCCAAGAGAAGACATTTTCTGCTGTGGCTACTGCTCTCTAGAATATTCTGCTGGAGATGAGGTCCACCCCTATCTGCCAGGCCTTCTGGAAGAGTGTTAAAACCTGGTTCTGCCAACTGGCCTGGGCCCCCATTGGGAGTATTCTCTGCTAAGGATGGCTGATGGGGTAGAGAAAAGATCCTCACATTTGTGTCACCTGTTCTCCTGGGTTTTAGTCTCTAATTTTTATTTTAATTGTTTCATATTATCTTTTTATCATCCTGTAAACTGTCCAGAATCACTTCAATAGTGGTATAGGTGGCATATAAATTTAATAAATATATAAACTTTTATATGGATTCTTGCACAGGAGTCCCAGCTGATAGCCTAAACAACCTTGTTCAATTCTATGATTTTGTGAAATGGATGACTGGAGGGCACTCTTACATTTTCCATAGTGTATAGAAAAGATCAAGCAGAAACTTCATTTAAAAAAAATGGGGTGGACATTTCTTTTTTTTCTGAATCCTTCAGTCAGCTCCTTCACTATTACTATTTTTACTGTTCTTTGGGTTCCTACAACCCTACAAGTAGACTAAAACCAGGGTATGTCTATACGTGAAAAAGATGCAATTTAACAAGTAGAGATGGAATATTTTATTTATCTTATTTATATTTCCATTTCTGAACTGCCCATCTCCCTCAAAGAGATAGAATCACATGGAAGTATTACCTCTGGTTTTATCCATGCTCCAACAGATGGCGGAAGCATTCAGAGTAAAACCCTATGATATACATGTATAAACTGTTACAGGAATCAAACAGGCTGCACTATGTAGAACAGTGTGGAGCCTTAATATAATATCTGATTAGTCTGATTTCAAAAGATTTCTGAAAAAGTATCTAGAGCAGGGGTCCCCAACTCCCAGTACCAGGCCGTGCGGCATGCCAGCAACAGGTCCATACAAAGAAGCAAAGCCCCATCCACGGGATGCAGGCAGCACACAAAACCTCATGCCCTCTGGTCCACGGAAAAACCTCTCTCCACGGAACCAGTCTCTGGTGCCCACAAAGTTGGGGACCTCTGCTCTAGAGTAATCTGTCTCTTCCCTAGCAGCTATCTGGCAAGACCGGAAGAGGAAAGAAAATGCCATCCAGAAGGCAGAGACATACTTTTCCCTAATTGACTGGATTCACACATCGCACTAAACTGTAGATTATTGAATGCATGAGGATTGGATTCAGACAATAAAAAGCCATGGCCAAGCAAACCATATTATAAGTTAATACAATGTATGACCCAAATCAGAAAAAAAGAGCTTTATCGTTGGCTGTGGTCTTTTATTAAACCCTCTACAGGGAAAAAAAGTTCTTTCCTAATGAGGGACTGTAAAAGTAACTATCAGCATTTGAATGGTACATCAAATCCTGCTTTCCAGGAAAGGGAGCCTTTTAGTTGAAAACATCTTTGACATTTGAAATCTTTTTCCTGCACACCCAAAATATGTGAACCTTGGTCCCAAAGAATAACTATGTAAAGTGGCCTGTTCTTTCAATCACAATAAGTCATTGATTTTTTAAAAATGATTATAGTTAACTTGCAGGCTTTCTAATTGACATCTATACAATCACCAAATCATTAACTGCTAGAAAAGGATATCATATGCCCTTGGACCTCACCAGATTGCAGAATCATCACTAAAGTCACAGGGTGCAGACAGTTCAGGGAGTACAAAAAGTCAGTGAGTACAAAGAGTTTACTATATTGCCCTTAAAATCAGCTTCCTCAGCTCCTGATCTGCAAGGAATAGAGGCCCATGTATTATCTAAGAAATGCTAATACTTTGCTTAAAGACCCCTGAACCAGGTAACTCATCCAATTTTGAAGTGAGCTTTTTCATAATAATGATTAAACAAATAAAATTTATCTTCTAAATACATATATCAGGGATGTCCAAACTTTTAGGAGTCAGGGATCTTTTGATTTTAATTTTTTTAATGGGCAAGGACCAGAATGGGTAAGAATGCTGGTGCAATT